TCGGCGAACCCAACAGACTATGGACTTATCATTTAATAAAGCATTGATTCATTTATTCAGTCATTCATGGAACAGATATTAATAGACCACCTCACATGCTGACAATATCAAAATACAATGAGGAAACTTAAGAGTGACCCAGATATGCATTCTGTCCCGAGCAAGATCACAGTCCAGGGTGTGAACACAACCACACTAAACAGCTTTTATGGGAGGTGGGAGAACAGAAAGTTTTGTATCTACAAAGAAACTGCTAAGAATTGTGGAAGCTCCCCACCAGGTGATTTCCTGCTTGCATGACCAGGAAGAAGAAATGGGGTAATTGAGAGTGTCACGAAGTGGGGTTATTTATTTATTTATTTATTGAGTTGGAGTCTCGCTCTGTCACCCACGCTAGAGTACAGTGGCGCGATCTTGGCTCGCTGCAACCTCTGCCTCTGGGTTCCAGTGGTTCTCCTGCCTCAGCCTCCTGAGTAGTTGGGGTGACAGCTACGTGCCACCATGCCTAGATAATTTTTGTATTTTTAGTAGAGACAGGGTTTCACCATATTAGCCAGGATGGTCTCGATCTCCTGACCGCATGATCCTCCTGCCTCGGCCTCCCAAAGTGCTGGGATTACAGGCATGAGCCACCGCACCTGGCTGAAGTGGGGTTATTTATAAAGCTGTGATCAGGGTTAAGGGAAACTGATGAAGAGTGGCAAGGCACCTGGAGCGAGCGGGACCGGGAGCTGATGCCATTAGGGGAGGGGCAGGTACGAAAATCTAGAGAACTCAAGAGCCTCTGACAGGCTGTAACCTTTGGTGGAGGAACAGGGACACATTGGAACCACTCAACAGGGAGAGATCAGGGCGATGAACACCCTGAATGCCTGCTCTTGGAGCCCTTTGATTTCCTACAAGTGAATTCCATTGGCCATACGTATGGCCACTTACCAGGATGACTTTCCTCAATGCACAGTCACCGTGGTAAGTGGCCACAGGTCCCCTTGGGGACGACTGAGAGAAAGATGAACAGTGTACATTTTTGACAGTGTAGTAGGGCTCTTCCTCAAGCAGATCCAACCTCCCCATCATTTAATGGGTTTGGGGTATATAACCTAGCTCATGTCTGGGAAATAACTGAGGGACTGTTACTCTCTATTTTGCTAATTCAAGTTAGACGTCTAATTATACAACATGGAACTCTGCTTGCACAGATCAAGTCAGAATTTAGTAGATTGCTTATCTAGTTCTTTTCTAGGGACATCATGATGAACTAGACAGTGCCAAAGGTCCCTGTGAGTTCGACTATTCTGGCTAACATTTTGACACCACTGTTCATAACAGCAGCTATATCCACCTTGCCTTTGACAATAAGTATGGCCACTCAGACCTTACAGTCCTGGGATCCAACTATCTGCATTGC